GGGGGGGGGGGGGTTGTGTTAGGACAATTATAAGATTTAGGTTGATTAGTTCCGAACCGTTAGATCACGAGGATCCAACGGTTGCGATCGGATTATTACAAAACGGTGTCGTTTGGGGTGTGAGGGGTTGGATCGGGTAGGCTGGTTATTTTGGGCTTGGGTTTGGACTAAATTGGGTATAAAGATCAGCCCAATTTCAATTAAAAAAGACCCCTTTTCAATTACCTCTTTTTTTATTCCCTTTTTTTTTAAATTAAAATTTCTAAAAGAAATCCTAAATTAATCTAAATTGCAAAATTAAACTATTACTTAATCACAATAATTATAAAAATTACTCAGTCTTAAATTAAAAGAGAAAAATCAACAATCTAAAAGGCAAAAATGAAAAATGAGCTATTTTTGTGATTTTCATTTTTAACAAAACAAATAATTAACTAATTAATCCTAAAACTATAAAAACAAAACCTAAATGCAATGCATGGTATTTTTGATACTTTTTATGATTTTTAACAAAAGTAAACATGTACAGAAATGCAAACAATTAGCACAAATTCCCACAAAATCCTATAAAATTGTAAAAAATGGAAAAAATTATTTTCTTATATATTATGGGAGTAATTCCTATGGGGCATAAATCACGTGCTCACGGTCAATGCTACAAATTAAAACTTAAAGGTCAATTTGCAATTCAAGTTTTAAAAAGGGTCTGTGTCCAAGAGGCTCATGTTTCTTTGTTTCTCTCTTTCCTCCCACCAATTTTATCTAATTAATCAGATAATCTCATTTATTACTCCTTTAGTTTTCTAAAATCTTAGAAGATATCTTCTCTCCCGTATTAAATTCTTCTTGCCATGTTAAAATATCCGGTCTTTAAATTCAAAGAGAAGACTGTATATGTATTTCTTGTTTCTCACAGTACTAATAACACATATCATAAAAAGATAAGTAAACTAGATATACTTCAATGATAAAGTCCAAAAGGGATGGTTTGTTTGGTTTTGGGAAGATTTTGGAGTGAATTAAAACATTTAGTTCCATAGTTGGAAGCTTAAGTGGTAAGAGTTAACCAATATTTAATTTTTGTTTAAATGACCTCACATTCATATTTCAATGGTTCCAATAAAAATCTTATTTTCCGATACATAGTCCCTCGTGACCAAGGTGAACAGTAGCAGTGCGTCGGAAAATGGACAATGTTCCTCCGTCCGATGGTGAAAAACCACCGGACCAGTCTCAAATTAACCCCCTACAAAATGTACACCCCCCCCCCC